TCTGATTAGTATATATGTATATATATTACTAACAATATCATATTGAATGCAACAAAGCAAACAATTGAACAAATATTATTGTCAAATTTTGTAATGTGCCTCAATTCTTAAAAAAAAAAAAAAACAAACCATAAACATATGGCCAATATACATATGTATATATCTACATATAGATAAACATTTGTCTCGAAATTCAAAAACGTATATCAGATCCACGATATTACATAAATGGGATTTGATTTTCACTAAGTTTTATTACTCGTAATTTTCAAAATTAAAAAAAAAAAAAAAAAAATTTTTTTTTGGTTAATGACTCGAGTGTACGCAATCTACTTATACTTCTTCATGAAATCGGCGTGGAATACGCGGAATTTCTCCATCATCTCCTTCAATACATTTGTCTGTGGTAAAATGGTACTACGGAAGTGATAGGTGCCGGGCAACTGGCCAAATCCGCTGCCAGGCACAATGCAAATACCTGCCAAGAGAGAGAGAGAGAGAGAGATGGGTTATATGGAGCTCTTCTATGATATTCATTGTGGATTACTCACCTGTCGTCTCGAGCAGCTCGAATGCGTAGAAGACATCCGGCAGCAAGTTCTTAGCCTTGGCCGCCTCGACAGCCTTGGGTGGTATCTCAATCTTGGGGAACACATACATGGCGCCCTGCACCGGATTCACCGTGTAGCCTTCGAAGCTGCTCAGCGTCTTGTAGACCAATTCGGCACGCTCTTTGAGCGCATTCAATACCTCGGATTTCTCCTTTTCGAAGAGCTCATACGATGGCTCGCCGGGAGTGGGTGGATTCACGAGCGCACTGATTGCCACCTGACCGGCGGTGGTGCTGCAGAGCTGGGCCGTAATCGATTTGGTGAGCACCGCCTTGACTTCGGGGCACAAGTTCAGCACCTCCATGTAGCCGCCGCGTATGCCGCACTCGCCGAGGTAGCCCTTCGAAACGGACAGGAAGCTGACCAACTCCTGCTGGCGATGCGGTCCGCCCATCTCGTTCATGACCTGCTTGAACGAGTAGAACTTGGAGTTCTTGTCATACACGTTCGCCTGGTACACCTCATCGGCCAGGATCACAAGCTTGTTTTCATATGCAAACTTGATAATCTCGACGATATTCTCGCGGGTGAGCACCTGTCCGGTGGGGTTGCCCGGATTGATGACAACCAGCACACGCGGGCTGCACTTCTTCTTCGATTCCTCGTACGCTCGCTGCAGCTCCTTGCGATCGAGTCCCCAGCATCTGTCCTCGTCCAAGAAGTAATCCACACGGCACATGCCCAGCTCTGTGATGGTCGCCGAGTACAGTGGATACTGTGGTATGGGCACCATGATGCCGGGCGGCAGACCGCCAACTGGGCAGCTGTGTGCAACAAAAGAAATTGATTACAGTTATGTCGAGTTGCAACGGATATAACTCTGATTGAGATGGTAGAATTTACTAGTTCAATGGCTCAATAATCGTGAACTAAAACTAGGATAATTAACAGATCGTTCATAAACGATTGAACAACATTTAAATAATTTAAAATAGGTTGTTCTTAAGCGCAGCTTTATCCCACTTTACTTAATTGAAACTGCTTAAGAGCAAGTTCTTTTAAAGACTACCAAAGAACTAGTTCAATATTTGAACAATTATTAGATGATGCTTTCTATAGACAAAACTAACTTGATAAACTATTGGTAACACTATCTATTCTCTTTTGAATCAAAGGAACTAGTTCTTCGTTTCAGTTCAAAGCTGACTAGCAGCTAGAATTTTGCTTATGAACTATTAGAAATACTTCAATACTAACACTAACCAGAGATCTCTGGTTAGTGATACTAATTAGCTACATCCTATAGCTGTCAGTTCATTAGTAATTGAACTAGTTCCAGTTCCTTTGCGTATACTCACTTGAGCAGAGCCAGAATGCTCTTAATGCCCGGGGACGCACCACCGGTCAAATAAATATTCTGATAATCGGCGGGCACGCCATTGTCACGCTTCTCTATGAAGGCGGCGACCTGGCGACGAACAAACTCCAAGCCAGCTGAATCGGTATAGGAACCCATCGAACCACCCGAACAGGCGGCGAGCAGATCACAAGCGCGCTTCTTGATGTCGTCCGGATATTCGGGGGAGTTCAACAGACGCGGTTCCATGGTCAAAGCCATCAGCTAAAGCAAAGCAAAGTGAGTGATTACTGTACTGTCTAGAGGCTTATACATATGTACACATATATGTACACATATAGCTAGCTCTTTCACTCACCTGCCTTAAGTAGGTCAAAGGCTTTTGGCCCATCGCATGGCAATCGCCAATGTTGGCCCGGATGACCCGGTCGAATGGCTTCTGAACACCCTGCAAGCGCAAGAAATAAAATACAGAATATAATAATAATAATTAAATAACTAAATAATAATTGGTACGTATTAACATGATTAGAGCCCAGTCGCCCGATTGGAACGAGGCTCTAATATGATTTTAATGCG